CTAATTTGGGAGGTCTCCCTCTCGCAAAGTTTCAAACCATCAAGAGGCATACGGTAAGGTGACCCATTGTCTCCATCACTATCTGTTATATGCATGGAGAGATTAGCGCAAGTTATTACCTTAGAGACCGATCGAGGAAAGTGAAATCCAATCAAACTTTCTAAACTAGGCCTGGGACTAACACATCTCTTTTTTTGCAGATAACCTAATTCTCTTCGTAGAGGTGGACATACCCAAGCCAAAACAATAAAGTGGCGTTTGGTTCGTTGGAATGTTTTTGAGGGAATTGAAATCTGTGAAGGAATTGGAATCTGTAGGAATTAGAATCCAATTCCATATTCTGTTTGGTTGGCAGGAAATGGAATTGGAATCTAATTTCATATTCTGTTTGGTTCGCAGACATGTCAGATGAATTTGATTTTAGTAATGTAAAATGACAGAATTGCCCTTCTTATTTTTTTGCTTTATTTTAATTTATTTTACAACTTACATGTAGTAATATATTATAAAAAATTTAAAAATATTAAATTTTCATTTTATTGATTGATTATTCATTTCAATAAATTATAAAAATCATGCTAATAAACATTATAAGTTAAATCATCTCAATCAAAAAATGTTAATAAGTTACCAAAAGATAGAGCAATATTTCGATACATTCCAATCGGAGTATGTTAATTAGTTATCAAAAACTATTTTTATTCAATATATGAATTAGAAACTCGACCCGACACGACTCAAAATAATAAAAAAATTATTTTTATTCAATAAAAACACTGACTTAATTGAAAAAATTATATATAGAGGGGTATTATTGTAATTATTCCTAAATATATAAGGTAAAATTATATATATTTTTTTCGGGTCGGTCCGGTTTTTTTCACCCTAACCCTGAACCCGACCCGAATATTATACTTTAAAAAACCCGACCCGAATATCACACTTAAAAAACCCGACCCGACCCGAACAAAATAAAGGTTCATCCGACCCGACCCGAATATATGAATTAGAAATCCGACCCGACCCGACCCAAAATAATAAAAAATTATTTTTATTTAATAAAAACAGTGACTTAATCCGACCCGACCCGAATTATATATATTTTCGGGTCGGTTCGGTTTTTTTCACCCTAAACCCGACCCGACCCGAATATCACACTTTAAAAAACCCGACCCGACTCAACCCGAATATCACACTTAAAAAACCCGACCCGACCCGAACAAAATAAAGTTTCATCCGACCCGACCCGAATATATGAATTAGAAATCCAACCCGACAGACCCGAAATAATAAAAAGTATTTTTATTTAATAAAAATAGTGACTTAATCTGACCCGACCTGAATTATATATATTTTCGGGTCGGTCCGATTTTTTTCACCCTAAACCCGAACCTGACCCGACCTGAATATCACACTTAAAAAAACCTGATCTGACCCGACCCGACCCGACCCGAATATATGAATTAGAAACCCGACCCGAAATAATAAAAAAATATTTTTATTCAATATATGAATAAGTTACCAAAGGATTGATGAGGGTAGTATGGTCAAATTTCAATTCCCTCAAATTTTGGATGGAATTCACTTTCCCTCATTTGATGGAATTGAATTCCATAAGGGGTAGCAATTCCCTTGAAAAACTTGAACCAAACATGGGAAAGTGATGAAATTGGATTCCAATTCCCACCAATTTCAAGGGATTCCATCCTACCTAAAGGAAGTGCTAAGGAAATTTTGTGCAAGCTCCAGCCATAAAGTCAACAGCCCTAAGACCAATATCTTCGTCTCCAAAAATGTGCAGAGTCAAACAAGGGATAGTATCAATAGTTTCTTTGGGTTCAAGCATGTTAAAGACATTGGGATATATTTTGGAATCCCCCTAATTCATAAGAGAGTAACCAAAGAAACTTACCAACATACTACTCAGAATGTTAGTGGCTGTCTCTCGGGATGGAAAGCCAACACTACAAAAAAAAAATCAAGGGAAAAATTTCGAAGACTTTAAAATCCATCATAATTTACTGATGAAAATAAAAATTTCATCCCAAAATTTTGATTTTAGTTGTAGCTTTCGCTGGAATTATTTTTTCCATCAGAAATTTTAGTCATTTTAATAAAAATAAAAATTTATTTTGTGACGGAACAATATCTCCATTAAAAATCAATAAAATAAAATAAAAATATAAAAGAGTAAGTACACTACACCTTTATTATCCAAATCCCTTTTCAACCCCAATACAAACATTAATTATATCCAAAACCAACTACTAAATTTTTTTTTGAGTAAACAACTACTCCTAATTTCTATAAAAAAAAAACTACTCCAAAAGTATTAATAATTCCATTTCATTTTATTGTCTGCATTCCTCCATTGCTCAGAGCTGGCACCCCGAGAGCACTTGGAGTATGGTCATTTCATTTTGCTGTTTGAATTCCCCTTGTGTGGAGCTGTGACACCCCTATTAGTGTTTTTTCATTACTTTTCTATTTCTATTATATATCATTATAAAATATTTTTCTTACACTTTCTTTCCTTTTTTTCAAAATTTTAATATTTTAATGATCAATATATTTTAAAGTATAAACTAATTTATGTACGTATTTTTATTTTTAATTTATTTATATTAAACATTTATATACATTTAACTTTTATTTCTTTCCTTTTGTTGATTTATATGTATATGTCTTTTTGTTGATTGTTGTATTATAATTCTAGATTGAAAATTGCTATTTATGTAAATGGTTTAACTATGTATATGTCTTATTTTTCCTCAAAAATTCCTTTAATAAAATCAAATTTTGTCGAAAATTCAATTAGAAATTCCGTCGGGAAGTTTTGTAGTGCAAATCTCTCTTCCTTACTGGGCAAATTGTTCGTGCAAAATCAGTGCTGACGACAATTCAATAACATGTCATACAAATCACATCACTGCCAAAAGGTATATGTGATGAAATAGAGGAAACCCTTTGCAAAAGTGTGAAAGAAGAAGGGCTAGGCTTTAAGCATCTCAGGCGTCAGAAGGATGTTTTTTTTGTTGTTGTTAAAAATAGCTTACCAGCTGGTCACGAGGAAAAATTAGCTATGGGTGCAAATCCTACGCAACAAAATATAAAATAAAGAAAGCTCTCCAAAAGACCATTGAGAAGGAATGGATCGCATCTGTGGAAAGGTGTAATGAAAGTCTAGCTTAGACTGAAGGAAAATATAAGTTGGATTCTTGGCAATGACTAAAACAAATAGAATTTTGGAATGACGAACGGATAACAGCCATAGAAATTCTTCAGAACCATTGCCTTCAACCTAATGTTGTCTTTAGAAATACATGTAAGGTCAATGAATTGGTTACTATTGATAGAAGCTGGAAATGGGTGGAAATTCGCCACGTCCTTACAGACCATGCGATCCACCTGGAAGCAACTCTCTATCGATAAGCGAAGACCTGAAAGACAAGCATGGGTGGAAGAGAACTGAAAATAAAAAATTCTCCGTGAAATAATTGCCGAACATCAGAGTTTGCCTAGGATCAGAAGTCAGAACCTTTCTTTGGCTAGCCTATAGGGGAAGATTGCTCATAAACGCGGAAAGGGTCTGAAGACACATTGCGATGGACGACAGTTGTGGTGAATGTGGAAGGGCAAATGAAGGCCTTGACCACATTTTTAGAACCTTCACTAAAGTTGTCATGGTATGACAGCGTTTAGTCGCGAAAAGCAAACTTGAGGACTTTCTTACCTGTGACTTTCGAAATTGGATGAAGAGGAACCTGAAAAGCGGATATTACGCTAGAACCATATCTGACGAGTGGCAAACGATGTTTGGAGAATGCTATGGAACAAAAGGAACAGAACACTATTCGAGCCTGAGAGGATTGAGAGGGAAGATACCATTGAGGAAGCTAAGAGACTAACCGAAGAAATTATCACTGGAAGTAATAACCCCAACGTTACTATCAAGCAGAAAGATGACAAAACCATGAAAAATGGAAACCCCCAAATGACTAGTGCTTCAAAGTCGACACCGATGGAGCACACATCGCACGCACAGGTGAAGCCACATGCGGAGGAGCTATAAGGAATAATGAGGGTAAATGGTTAACACGATTTTCAAAGAAAAGAGGAATTTACACTACCCTTGAAGCCGAGATATGGGGATTACTCATTGGGTTGCAGATTGCGTGGAAATGGGGAATAAGGCAAATCCACGTGGAAACTGATAAAATGGAAGTGGTAAATCTTATACAAAAGAAATCAGGGTACGAAAGAAACCTGACTATTCTACAACACATAGATGAATCGAAAGATCGATATTGAAACGTACTAGTCGACCGTATCTCGAGAAGCAGGAACAGAAAAACAGATGCCCTAGCAGAATACTCTTGGACACTTCCAGAAGGCATGCTGGAATTCACAGAACCCATCCACTGAGATTGTACTAAAGATAAGGAAATCAGATCCTGAGGTTGGCTATGTGCCAACATTCCTCTTGTAAAATATATGTCAAATTGATTCGAACATATTAAACAAAATTAACCGTTCAGATATACTAAAGGGTAAACTATACGTTTAGCACTTCAATTATCACTTTTATTTTATTTTGGTCGCTCAATTATTTTTGTTTCAAAATCAAACCCAACATTAGTTTTGATTATATTTTGGTCACCTTTCGTTAAAAATTAACGGTGATGCTGACATGTCACTATAAGTGTATGCCACATCATAAATTCTGTTAATTTGTTTTTAGTAGTGGGTGACCAAAACCAAAACGTAGTATTAGGTGTGATTTGTTGGGTGATAAAAATATAACACAAACAATACTTAAGTACTAAACATGTAGTTTACCCTATTTTAAACCCTAAAAGAACATCAAGTTTCTCAACTACAAGTATAAGCCCAAACTACGAAGCCCACTGTTATCTCCCAGACCTAAAACGGCGTCATTTAAGAGCCCTCACAATTCATCTCTGAGAATTGCAATAAAACCCCCGCAAAAAACCCTAGGCAACAATTCTGAGAGACGAAGATTCCAATGGGGAGGTCGAGAAGGAAATACAAACAATCTCGTGCCAAGGTCAAAGTGGGTCTCCCGAGGAAAAACCCTTACGTCTTCAAGCCATGCTTCACTCTTCCTCCCAAGCTCCGCGCCCTCGCCGAGGTCGACGACGCCCTCTCCAAGTGGGACGACAAAGCCACCGTCATCCAAAACTACAAGTCCTTCGGCGTCGTTTCTAACCCTAACTTCCTCGGCGTCCGTTCTCGTACATCTCACATCGTGGAAAACGGTTCCCTCCAAGTCCCTCGTCCTCCACCGTCCAATGAGCCGGCTGATGAATTCGATCCCATTGATTCAGGAAGCGATCTCGAAGAAGACGGTCAGTCCTCCTCTCCCCTCACTTCTTTGTTGTTTATGCGGTTCAATTTTGAGGTTTAATTAGCTCAAGTCGAATTCATTACGATTCCTTTAGATGAAAATAAGCTATCCAATGATTTTGATCCTATTATGAAACTGTAAGCCTTTTCAATTGCTCCATAGAACCAATGGATTCGATTCTATAATGAAATTGTTAGTCTTTATTCATTGCTTCGTAGAAATCTATCAGTGAACTTTAGGTCTTTCTTTATCTCTGGCCTAATTATAGTTTTAGTCCCTTTAGTATGCTAAGGATTGGTATTTAATCCAACTTTAATTTGCTATAATTTGGTCATTGTACTTTATAATGTTATTATTAGGTTCAAATTGATAACAAGTGGTGATGAAGAAATCGTATTTTACCCTTTTTTTTTGGTTCCCAAATGACTACTTTAGCATGCTCTATACTTTTGCATTTGTAGACTTAAAAACTGCACTGGGGAAGAAGCGAAGAGATGGAAGAAGCACGCATTTACAGCCGCTGACCACTATGCAACGTCATCATATTGGCCGGCTTGTTGAGAAATACAGCAATGACTACCAGGTTTGACGGTGTTAAGTTTTCATATGTTTGTATTTCCAGTCGTTGGTAGTTTTGGTTATTGATGTGATTTTTACAGGCAATGTTCATGGATGTAAAACTAAACAAGATGCAGCATTCGGTTGCGACTCTGGAGAAACTATGCAAGAGATATCATATGTTTGGAGATAAAAATCCATTGATATCATCCGCTTGAGAATGTTTCGAGTTTCTGCATGGCAATCTGTCATGGGTCAAAGTTCTAAAGAAGATTATAATATGATCGATTATGTACTCAAAGTAGCCTGGCAAAGATTTTGATTTGGATTATTGTACTTTCATCTTTATAATGGAGTAAAAAGTATGGATTTTCAGTTCCATTAAGATTCCTTGGTTAACTTTTCTTCTCCTGCCGTAAGTTTCTTTACTCATTTCTGAGTTATAGTTTCTTTTGCTCTGGCTTGGTTGGTTCAATGTTTTTCTGTTTGAGAAGACTTGAAGCGCCTTACGGATTGGTGATCACAATACTACCCTCCGTTGGGTTACCTTCCTCTTGCTCTCATCGGGGTGTAGCTGGGAATCCCCTCGGTCTGTTTCCTATTGCTGTTTGAGAAGTTTTGAATCATTTTAGGGGTGTTCATTTTTCAGTTTTAACTTAATTACTTTGGTGCCATTGAACTAGGTTGGTCTATTAATAATTAATTTTTTAATATTCTGTTAATGGTTAATTCAGTTTAATTAATTGAAAATATTAAATATTGAATGTGTTTTATATATTAAACATATATTTTAAGTTTAATTTCATTCAGAATTAAGGTTCAATTATTTTTTAACCACACTAGATCTATTAAATTATCAAGATCTAATTAAATTTTAATCAATATAAGAAAATTTTCTGTTAAATTTAAATTAATTTAATTAAAAATTATAAAAAAAAATCAGCTAATTCGGTCAACAATCCAATTAATCAAATTTTGTTCAATTCAGTTAATATTTTATAAAAAAACAACTCAATTAATGATTAAAGAAAAAAGTTCAATTAATTCTATTAATGAAAATTTGATTTGATTGATAATCGAAATAATCGAATGAACCCCTCTATCACCTTATGAATTGGTGATCACAATACCACCCGATTGGGTGAAAGCTGCGCCAGGCATGTCTGCCTTTTGTTTTCCTGCTGGCTGCTCTATTTCAAAAACTAAATTATGGTATTACTAATTTACGAAGCAAAGGATGAACTATATGTGTCAATGTCTTCTAAAATGTTTTAATAGTGTTAAAATTAATATCAATTTTAATTTTTAATATTTTTATATAAAATTTATAAAGAAAAATAGTTAGTTGACACCCTTTTATAGTTTTGCTCTGCCCCTGAATATATGTATACAGGGATAGATTAAGATGGAACAAAAGGGGCAGTTCCTGTATGTATAATTTGCATGTAGTCAAGGTTGTTGAACAAAAAAAAGTTTATCTCAACGGTAATGGTTGTGAAGATCAATATAATATTGGAGATACTTATGATAAAATCCGATTCTTATTTATTTGATTACAACGTTTGTAAGAATATTTGAATATTTATTATCAAATGATTAAATTTTTTTTAAATATATATTATCTTATAATCATTTTAGACATAATAAAATAAATAAAGTCGATATTTTTTCTCTTTTTTAAATATTACCTTTTGAAAGTTTTTAAGCATTTGTCGAATGAAGAAAAATATTTGATATAACAATGGATCACTCAAAATTCAATCTCGACCTAGTCTCAAAACTTTTGAAATGAATGTTTTTCTCTAAAATTCAACTTTTTAAAAAAAAATAAACTATACTATTCTTCACTAAACTTTACTTTCTTTCTTTTGTTTATTGTGTTTTTAATTTACTTACTAAACTTTCCAATTATTTTTGTTTTGATTAATCTGAATTATTTTTTTTATTATTATTGTATGACATGAAATTTTTATTATTATTTAATATAAAAATAATTTAAAATATAAAATAAAAATAAAAGATGGCTACAGTGGTCAAAGGTGGACAGTGATTATTTTAAGTCTTTTTAAATTTAATAATAAAATTATTATTTTATTATTTATTATAAATTATTTTTATTAGTTAATAATAATAAAATAATATAAAATGATCAAAACAAGTATAATTCAATTTTTCAATGAGTCAATTGGAAAAATTAAAAATACAATGAATAAAATAGAATAGATAACAAAATTTAGCGAGAAATGGTAAGAGTATATCCTTAAAAATGATTTTATAGAGTGGAATAGAAAGATTAGAGACTAATCAAATTCAATGAACAAGAAAGAATACTATAAGACAAGGACATATCAACGTGTGCAAATTCATTTACCAAAAAACAACCCAAACACGAAACATGTCTGCAGTTCGTGTCTAATGATAATATTAATTTCAAAAGCCACCCCTAAATCATGGCCGACATTTCTAATTTAACCCTACGACTTATTCTTCAAACCATTAATATATTATTAAGTATTTTTATTAGTTCAGTCCTGAATTCTAACATTTAATAACGTGAAAAATATTGGAATATAAATTTTATTATTTTCTAAACATACTATAAATGATATGTCTATAATAAGTAGTGCAACTAATTGATCAAATGATTTTAGTAATTGAAACGATTTTTATTATTTTTTTAAAAAAATTAGATTAAAAAAATTATCCGTAAGATATATATTGTCAATAACTGAAAATATTTAAAATAAATAGTTATATCTATAGGATTATAAACATATAATATCTCATAATCACCTTAGCCTAGTAAAAAAATAAAAAGTTAAAGAATAAAATGACTAAAAAAATTATGAATAAATAATATGATATAATTATCCAAAATATTTAAAATAAATAAATGAGTGGGATAGGTAACAAATCGCAATCAGCAGATGGCGTCTTCTAGTTGCTCTTCTTCTTACGCCATACGCCATACGCCGTGCGAGCACGCTGTGTTTGTGAATAAATGAAATTGTGTTGGAATTCCAAAGACAGAATCAATGGCGACGTCGGAGAAGCAAGCCATAGTGGTCGGAATCGACGATAGCGAGCACAGTATGTAGGCTTAATTTGGAATGGACGCTCGACCATTTCTTCGCTCCTTTGGCTTCAAATCCACCTTTCAAGCTCATCATCGTTCATGCCAAGCCTACTGCTGCTGCTGCAATCGATATCGCTGGACCTGGTACTATTTCATTGCCTTTTCATCAACTAACCGTCCTTTCCTTTCTTATAAATAATTCATGTACTATGGTATTGGTAGGAGCTGCTGATGTATGGCCCTACGTCGATACTGATTTGAGGAAGATCGCCGGTAGGGTTGTCGACAAGGCCACGGAACTCTTCCTTACTAAATCGGTATTCATCGCCATACATCTTTCCAATATCATTCTAATATGAAAACCTATAATATCAAAATTAGCCTTTACATTTATCAAAATGATAATTTAAATTTTACTTTTCTTCAATATTTTAACCTTTAACATTTTATTTTAGGGTAGAAAAATTCTTGTATATATAAAAAATGTTGAGGGTTAAAATACTCTAAAAATAAAAAATAAGAGTTGACTATTTGATAAAAAAATTGAGTCTTTTTTACCTAAAATGAAATATTAGTGTCAAAATGAAAGAATAAAGACCAAAATAATCATTTTAGTAAATATTAAGAGTTAATTTTGACATTATACGTGAAGATACTAATTTTTTTTTACCCATTTTTTTAATTTATTTATTATTATTATTATAATTATAATAATAATAATAATTATTATTATATATATTATTATTATTATTAAAAAATAATTACAGGCCCAATGAAAACTGGACCGGCCCAGTTACAAACAACCAGAACCGGCCCAGACCAAAATAAAACCCTAAATATTTAGGGTTTCAACTAGGGTTTCTAAACCCTAGCACTGTTGCCGCCGCCGCCGCTTCCAAGAACTCCCAACAGCCGCCTCTGCCGACACTTCCCAAGCCAGATGGTCCAACCAGCTGCTGCCGACGCCTTCCTGCCACGTCGCCGCCTCAAGGAACACTCCAGAACGCCATATGGCAACCAACAACCTTCCCTACAGTGAGTCACCAGCCTAGCTTTGGTGACTCACCGAACTTTTCATCCTTCAGACCGGTCCGAGCAAGCGACCGAGATGGCTATAAAGCCATTGTACTTGCAAAAATGAAAAAAAAGAGGAAAATCGAAAGACAGAGAGAACAACAGGAGAACCCAAAGCAATCCAGCAACCACAAAACACTAAAATAATCAGGAAAAGATGGAGAGATATTTACCGAGGAAGCCACGCCATCACCGGAATTCATACGAACCTCCACGCGTCACCGAAAACCTTCGAAAACCGAAGGTATTTTCTTAGATTTTCTCCGATCAAGAGCCATTTAAGAAATAAAGACACTGGAACCGTCATTAGGACGGTCCGATCTATATTTTGGTGTAAAAATGATATTTTCCGGCCATCGGATGCGGTGGCCGGCGGTAGGGATTACGGCGACAGACAGCTGCCGGCCGATGACCGGCTTCCCTCAGCTAGAGAGAAGCGAGAGAGAATTCTCTTCTCTCTCAGTTAGAGAGAGAAGAGAAAGAAGAGAAATGAAACGCTGGCCCTTCGGGCCAGCTGGAAGGGGATTATATACCCCTTCCCAAACGACGCCGTTTTGGGGAGGGGTATATCTGTAATTTTGCTTTCGGATAAACTATTCCCGCAGCCACTGTAACTTTAAAAAGTTTCAATTCGATCCTTATAGCATGTTTTTATATATTATAATTCAATCTAGTAATTTTATTTCATTTTATTTTAGTCCTTTACATAATATAATATATATATTTAGGATAAATACCTAATTTAGTCCCTTATAGTTTATTAATTATCATTTTAACCCGAATTAATTAAATAAGGCTAAATTACATTATTAGCACTTAGATCTTTTTATTATTCGAGTTAGAATCTTTAATTTTAATAATTATAATTTTAATTACTTATTAATAATTAGGGTTAATTACATCATTAGTAATTATATTTTTATAATACTATGAATAAGGGCTATAAATTTTAATATTTTATTTTTTAATCCTATTATTTTAATTTTATATGTTTTAGTCACTAATGTTAATTATAAGTCTTATTGCTTTTTTTATACTTATTTTTAAATTTATTTATCTTACTCATTATTTATATTTTAATTTTATATGTTTAAATTATTATTTTCATTATTATTATATTAAAATAAATTAATTTTTTTTAATTATTTATTTTATTTTTTAATATCGAAGAAAAGAGCTGTCTTAAAGCACCTAGAAGTCCTTTTCTGATATTTATAAATAAATAAATATT